ATTCTCTATTGGAGGCCACTGACTCTCCTGAGGGGCTCCTGTCTGGGAGCTTGTCCCTGGCCCAGTACAAGCTTCCCTCCTCAACCCTTATCATGACCCTGTTTGTAGAAATAATACAGCCCAGGGTTTGTCTGAAAAGAATAACTTCTGTTTTATTGTTATAAATGTCAATAACTGAAAGAAGGTATAACTGTTGCAAACATAAAAAAGCTTTTGTTTATTTTTGCTGGAGAAAGTATACTTTACTGACAAACTATGTACAATAAACATTTTCTTAAACACAATGTTTGGTATTTAACTGGGGTGATGTGGGTGCTTGAAACCTGGAGGGGGAAAGGGAACTTGAAACCTGGAAGAGTGATGGGGGTGCTTGAAACCTGTTGGGGGGAAGAGGATTTGAAACCTGGAGGGGGGAAGGGGATCAGGTTGCACGGTGCTTGCCTGCTCGCAGTCTCCTGCTGGTGCCTCGTGTTCGAGGTCCACCATGGCCTCGGGATCAGGTGGGGAGACTGTCTGTTGGCACTTGGGTGTGGGAGGCCTGGGGGATAGGAGGGCCAGGGGGAGAGAGGGACTGGGGAACTGAGGGGGCTGAGGGAGAGGGAGGTACAAGGGGGGAAAGGGATGGTGCTGTGGAAGAGGGGTTTGGTGGTGCGGGATCATAGGGTGCTGGAGGAGCAGGACCAGGCACAGGAGCAGGCAAGCCACAGACCTCCCTGAGAATGGCACACAGGGACGTGCGCTGCTGGACAAGCTCCTCCATCAACCGATCATGCCACCGAGCCTCTGCCTCCACCCTCTCTCGTAGCATGGTGTTGAGCTCCTGCACGGCCGCCACATGCTGCCTCAGGATGTCTGCATAGACACGCCTGTGTCTGCAGCTCCCATGTCCCCAGGATGGAGGTGGGGCTGGAGTGCTGCGGCCCTCTTGCACAGCTGGTCCAGCTGTGGAGGAAAAGAGGAAGACACAATCAGTCATGTGTGCAACAACTGTCCAAAAGGGCATGCCCTCTCCTTCAGACAGGGGACTCAGACATTCTGAAGGTAACACCATGTGTGACCTGGGCATCAGCCTGAGCATCACAGAGGTCCCAAAGTGCCAATGGGACCTTGCACTGACAACCCACCTGGGTGTGTTCTGGACATGGTTTATGCCACCACGTGGAGCACCCCCACATGTCACACTCTACCACTGAACATGTTGGCACATGCACAGCCAGCTGCATGATGGCCATGGTGAACATTACAGGTTTCCCTTGTGCATCCCCCACCCTGTGTGTTACACAACATCACTGCACTCACCTGCTGCTTCATCTCCGGCATCAGATGACACCTGGGAGGCCTCTGGGATCTGGGTGACCGGCTCCAGAGCGAGGGTCACTGTCTCCTCACTGTCCTCCTCCTCCGGCACCATCTCCCCATCTCCAGACTCCCTGGACTGCTCTAAGTCCTTCTCTGGCGCTTCCACCCCAGGGTCCTCCAAGCCAGACTGGACGAGACACAGTGGTGTGCGTGCTTCCCCATCACCAAGGATCTGGGCCAACTCCGAATAATAGGGGCAGGAACGGGGGTGCTGCCCCAGAACGGGAGCTCTCCTCCCTGGCCTTTACATAGCCTTGGCGCACCTCCTTTACTTTAGAGCGCGCCTGGTCCTCAGTGTGTGGGTGGTGCCCTCTCTTGGCCAGGGCCTTTGCCATGCGGCCAAAAATGTCCGCATTTTGCCACCAGGGCTCCGTCTACACTGGCCCCTTTTCCGGAAGGGGCATGTAAATTTCACGAGTCGTCGTAGGGAAATCCGCGGGGGATTTAAATATCCCCCGCGGCATTTAAATAAAAATGTCCGCCGCTTTTTTCCGGCTTTTAAAAAAGCCGGAAAAGAGCGTCTAGACTGGCCCCGATCCTCCGGAAAAAGCGCCCTTTTCCGGAGGCTCTTATTCCTACTTTGAAGTAGGAAGAAGACCCTCCGGAAAAGGGCACTTTTTCCGGAGGATCGGGGCCAGTCTAGACGCTCTTTTCCGGCTTTTTTAGAAGCCGGAAAAAAGCGGCGGACATTTTTATTTAAATGCCGCGGGGGATATTTAAATCCCCCGCGGATTTCCCTACGACGACTCGTGAAATTTACATGCCCCTTCCGGAAAAGGGGCCAGTGTAGACGGAGCCCTGGTGTTTAGGGCTTGTAAGGCCTCCTCCTCTGACCAAAGCTCGAGAAGGGTCTTGAGCTCTGGCCCAGACAATGCCAGTGCCCGGCGTTTGGAACCTCTGGTTGGGTCCCCAGAAGGCTGTCTAGAAGGGCCAGGAGGATCTTGGGGCTGAGACATGGCTGCACTGGAACAGCCGTGTGCTCTGGCTGCTTTGCTGCCACAACTGGCTGTGAGGGTGACTGTCCCTTTAAAAGATGGCTGCAGTCAGGAACCAGAGACATGCAAGGCATGCCCCAGATTGTCCACCAGGGCTTCTTCCTGGAGGCCCTTATTTTCGAAAAAAGGGGCTCCCCGCATCCACACTCACTTATTTTCAGTAGATCTCTGTCAAAAAAGGCGTTCTTCCTCATGAAATGAGGAGTACCGCCGTCGAAAGAAAAGCCGCGTTCTTTCGATTTAATTTCGAAAGAACGCGGCTGTAGTCTAGACGCAGGTAAAGTTTTTTCGAAAAAAGGCTACTTTTCTCGAAAAAACCCTGCAGTCTAGACACAGCCTTACTTACTTAAGCGGTGACAGCCAGCGCTTTATTTAAAGCAGAGTCAAACAGGTTCATGGTTACAATACAAATCCATTCTGTTAGCATGCATCCTATGCATTTAACTCATCTCACCAGCAAACAGGCTTGCTCAAACTCAAAGAGCACTATCATGGCTGTTAGAACACAGTGCCACAGTTTTGAACTGTGCTGTATTGACATGGTCCCTTCAGACAACAGAGCAAATAATGAAAATAAACTACAGGAGCTGGCTGCAAAGAAGGGGCAGATATTAGCAAATGATGGGTAGGGAATGCTCATTGTATTACAAGGAAAGTACGTGGCAGAGATGGTTTGTTTCATAGCTAAAGGTTTGGGGGAGGCATAATGCTGGGGTGAAAACTTGTCTGAAAGAGCTGTGTTTTGAGGCTAATGAAGTGATTCCAAGGAGAATATTTCTGAGACTGTCAGGGATAGGTTTGCCAGGTGTCCAGTATTGACCTGGACAGGCCAGTATTTTCGCCTCCTGTCCAGTAAAAAAAATCAGAAAATACTGGACACCTAAAATATACGGTATTTTCTGGGGGGGTTTCTCCTGCCAGGAGGCAAAAATACCGGACACCTGGGAACCCTATGACACACTCAGCAACTGGGCCCAGCCCCCGGACTTCCCCTCCCCAAACCCCTGCTTACCTTCTGTCTCGATCAAGAAAACAAGATGGCAAAAACCCTAAAGACCTGAAGCAAGGGGAAGCAATGCCTTCCCTGGGTCTTCCCTGAAAATTGTGGGGAGCAGATACTGTTGACACCAACTCAGCAGAAGGCTCTAACTGCATGACAGCGTGGTGCTCATGGTGACCTCACAGAAAGCCCTGTCATGCAGTGTCATGAGGTTCTCCACACATAGGCTCTCTGTTCCTGTTGGCAAGAACTTTGACAGTAGGCTTCCTCACACAGAATATTTTTTGCCTCCCAAGATGGTGAGGGAATGTTAGCAGAGACCCCTCTTCACAAAACGTCTGTATTGAGTGACAAGTGGGGAGCTTGCTAGTAGTCTTCAGATAGGCCTGTTCTCAATTTGCTTCTCACTGTCTGCAGATAGGCTGTGGCCTGGCCTAGCAAGAGGAAGTTAAGGACCGTTGGGAGGGGGTTTTCTTACCATAGCAGGCATTTCTAAGGCAATGTCAGTAGAGACTTCCCAAATACATCCCCCTAAAGATCCAGATGCCATTAAAAAGAGCAATCTACTACTCATATCACATAAATATTTTCCACCAGATAATTCAATTTTTCCTCACTCATGGCAAGACTGTTGCTTTCAACATATCATCTAGCCTTTTGTCCAGCAGGATTTAAAGGAATCATGCAATGATGCTGCCACTATTTCCCTTGGGCAGCTTTTCAAGAGCACAATAGGACACAATGGTAGGAGATTGTTTCTAATATTTATACTAAATTTCATCTGACTCCTAGAAACACTCTGTACTACTCCTCTTCCACCCTTCCAATACTTTTGTAGATGCTTAGCATATCCCCCTCTGTGTCATAGGCTGGACAAGCATACATTCATTTCAACCCCCTTCATACATCACACCCGCTGGATCCTTAATCAATTTCCTTGCTCTCCATACTGTAGAATAGCATCATAAAATCCTAGCAATTAGAGACCCCCCCCAAAAAAAAAAAAAAAAAACCTGTAAGATTATCCAATCTATCACTCTGCCAATGCAGTGTATTTCTTATTTTTCTGACAAGCTTGTTTTCAAAGTTCTGAGTCCAGGGCTTGCTATTTCTTCTGTCACTTCCTCCAATTTGTCAATAATGAGACATCAATAATAGATTTTGTTTGTAAAAAAAAATCTTCTTTCAGGGGAAGTTTTGTGATCATACTGTCAATATTTCTTGCCAGATAATTTTTCAAGAGTTGGCCTCCATGAAAACTGAAGTCTTCTCATTCATATTCACATGCCGTGTTAAACATGCAATGCTCCAGTAGTTTAGCTTCCCACACTAGCTTCCAGCTGCTGTCAGTGCTGAGTTGAAAGGACTAAGTCCTAAGGGTGAGAAGTTATTTAGTTTCCTCGTCATCCTACCTCTGTGCATTTCCAAATAAGAGAGCCTGTTGTCATTGGTGCCAAGAGGTGACAAATTATGTGTGGCTAACTTTCCGATATAGTAATCTATCTCCCTAAGAGTACTGAGAATACTGGAGGGAAGCAGTGCATGATAGATCTGAAACATACTGAAAGCTGTAGCTATATTTTCAAAATATAACTATAGTAAACAGATAATCATGCTTAAGTTAGAAGCAGATGGGACAAAAATCTGGTCTCTCACCATTTCCCCATAATATGTATTGATTGATTGAAAGCCCTACCCACCATGGCTTTGGGGTCATACACAACCTTTAGTAAATATATACGGTTTTTGCCTCTTTTTGAAGAAGCAAAACACAAAGAATATATCTCCAGAACCTCAGAAGTTATACATAACCAATTGCCCTGCAAGGACAAGAAGACAGATGGCTTGCACTTGTGCACTGAAAGCCAATAGGTTTATACTCTCTCTGTCACATAATAATAATGCTTGGTACTTTACATGTTCATTAGCTAACGAACCTTCACATAACCACTGTGAGGTACTAATGTACTTTTGGTCTCCATTGTACAAATGGGAAAAAAGAGAAAGAACACAAGTGCTTCATCACATATCACAGCATAAAACTGGTCAAACTGTGAACAGACCCCCAGCTCTACACAGTTCCATGTCTAGTACATTAGATCATATAGTCATTCAACAGCTCAATCAGGGAACTAACCACCAAAATTGAGGGGACTCTACCAAAAATATCCTGCCTTCAGCCATCATATATGTAAGTCTAGCATCTTCCACCGTATTTCCTCGTTGACTGAAATAGGAACAGGACTGGGTCACAAGAGAACACTTGTCTAATGACAATGAAAGGTACATATATTTTTTGCCAACAGGTGCCAGTTAGTTAGGGTACATCTTGTATCCCGAAATAGCTACCCCACATCAAGCTTCTCATTATTTCAAAATATTTTTCGAAATAATGAGCATGCTATTTCTTCATCCTGGTAAACCTCATTAAACAAGGGATTAAGAGATAGCTTGAAATAGCAAGTTATTTTGAAATTTGGCATTGTGTAGATGCACCAAATTTCAAAATAAGGTATTTTGAAATATCTTATTTTAAGTTTAGGGTAGATGCACCCTTACAGAATTAGTAATAATCCTTTCTCCTGTTGGTTAGCTTGGCGGGTTGTTATCAGAGAGCAGTTGTTTGTTTGTTGTCTTTAAACTCCAGGAAATTACATACAATAAAAAAACAATGCATCATTTAGATATCTTAGGTATATGTTAAAAATCAGTTTGGTTATTTAGAAAAACAAAAATTGAACTAGAATAATATAAGTGAAATACACATCTTTTTGAGCATGCAGTTGTAACGCACAGATCTAGGTGTGGAGTACTGTCCCATCAAGTGACACTGAAACCACTTACAGAGAGAATAATGAGTCTGTTCCAAAGCCTTAGATGAGAGCTAACTGGCTTTTAGTTCATGCAGTAGAGGCTCCAGAGGCCCCAAGTTTGATTGCACCTAGTCAGCATTACACAATGCTCAGTGCAGTGGTGAATCACATGCTCACCCTTTATTCTAGAATAGGTCAGATGGCTTAGACTATTGGGGCTGCAGGAAAAATCTGTTGTGTTCCTATAATTAAAAACTGTCAAATGCATATGTTCATGGAGGTAAAGTTAAAATTGAGCCTGTGACGTTAATATTTTTCAACTTTTGAGTCCTACATAGCATTAGGATTGCTTTAACATAGCTTACTGAAGTGAGTGTATATAGCAATAGATCTTACTTATAATACAATAAGGCCAAATTGTTCAAATTGGAGTGTCGAAAGGTAAGCTTCAATATGTGTCTTTAAGTAAATGTGGCCTGATTTTCAGAGGTACTGAGCAACTGCAGCTCCCACAAAAGAAAGAGGCAGAAATAAAGAAAAGTATAGTAGTAAAAAAGATGTTAGGTTTGTGCTACATAATTATTACAGTATGGTAAATAAGGCCCTACTGTGTGATTTTATATCTGTCCAATCTATTTGGCCTCTTTTAACATGTGCTAAATATAGAGTAAATGCAGCAACACAAAGAAAATGAATTGATAAGAAAATAAGCACAGCAGTACCTTGCAGGAACTGTATAAAAATAAAAGTCTTTAAGAGCTCTTGAAAATATATCCTTAGATTCCTCATTCTGAAGCTCAACGGGGAACCACTAGCCCAACTCACTAGGGATTAGAAAGGAAAAATTATGAAGGGGATTGTACATACATTTCTGTAATAAGAGGGAAATCTCTTTTCCATGTCCCTCAGGCCTCACCTCCCACCATCATGGCATAAGTTCTGGCCCTTTGCCACTGTATCCTAACTAACATAGGCCATTTTATAGTGGCAGTGCAAAATAGCTTTCATGAACATGAGAGTCAGGCAAATGGTGATAGTGCAAGATGACGGAAACTCTCATACTGGTAAGTGCCTTTAGACAAATTGTACTCTTTCAAGACAACCCTACACACACACACACACACACACACACACACACACACACACACACGAGGGCTTTGATAATACAGAAAGTTGAAAAGCTGATTATGCATCCCACAAAATAACTTCTAAATTTCAAACAAAAGTCATCCCAATTCAGGTCAAAAAGCCAAAATTTGGGGTAAAAAAATCAAAATCCTTCTGGAAAAAAATCATTGGGTACTGATAAAACATTTCATTTTGAAAAAATATTAAATATTTCATTTCAATACATGTAACATAATTTGTTTCTATTTTGATCCTTCCTAAATATAAAATAAATGTGTAAACAAACATCCATTTTGGAAAAAATCAAAATATTTTCACTCTAAAAATGTCAAAATAGGACACCTCAACATTTTCAAAATGGGCTTTCCATTTTTCCAAGCCATATTTAATTTAATTGATAGAATTTCACACACAAATAGTTTTTATCACAACAACATTTTGTGATAGAAAACTGTTTTGACTAAAATTGCCCTTCCAGCTCTATTTCATATGTGTGTTTTTCAATTATAACTCCTCCCTCCATTTTCCACATCGACTCTCCCTGCATAATGTGTATCAGAAAGAATCTGTCTCCACTCTACTACCTGTGTGTCATAACCAGATGATGACATTTAAAGTGACAGAGCTTGTACATGAGAAAACATAACGGGGCGTGGTAATGGACTTATCTTACTTATTTTCATTTACTCTAGCATTGATAGTAAATTTTGTACAAAGCAATGCCATTACAAATCCACGACTCACAGCTAGCCCACATTAGGTCACAGCCCTCATTGTACAACAAAATATAACAATCATCACTCAGTATATGAGCCCATCTAGAAATCAGTCTTTATAAAACAAAGACTATCATACAAAATTTCACCCAATTCCAAACATACAAACTCCTTCATCTTGCTCCTTTGGGAGAAGATATTTTCCGCCATTACTTCCAGCCCTTAGACAATCAACTTCCTCATTTCTGGATTTAGCCTCATCAAACTAGCTCCTACCTATCACCCACTTGTCACAGTCAGGGCAAATATGATGGAGATTAGAGCTCTTATTACTTTGCCAAACCTTTTAGCAGCCTTATATACATATTGAATGGAAGGTCTGGTAAAAACTGAACCTCAGAGCTGTTTACATCTATGTTGTCAATTCAGCTGTAGCTCAGACTGGTAATGTCCAGTGGCCTTTGGAGATCTCAGTTCAGTTCTTG